GGTTAGAGCATAAATGAATAAAGAGCAAAGATAAAGATTGTATAAATGTAAATGAACTTGGAATTTTGGTCATGTTGGGTATGATGTAATCAACCATGTAATGGAGTGGGGATTATATTACATGACTGATTACATTGTTTGGTTAGATTTTTTCTAGACAATGTAATGTGATTGAGATTACATGTATTATCTTAATTACTTAATTTGATATAATATTCATTACATAAAAAAAACACATGTATTGCCCACTACATCAAGTACATATAATACCAGTTACATCAAGTTACTCTAATAAAAACTTTACCATTCAAGGCTATTTAACACTACCACCTCACCACCATCGCTCCACCATCACAGCGCCACCACTTCTTAACCACTACTCCACCACCACCACTGCGCCACAACTACCACCACCCTCACCACCACCACCACTATCGCTTCACCACCACCGCTCCACCAGTCCCACCACCACCACTACTCCACCACCTCAACCACCACCACCGTGCCACTGCCATGACCATCGCTCCACCACCCTCATCGCCACCTCAACCACCACCACCATTACTCCACCACCTCAGCCACCATTGCTCCTCTACTTTAACCACCACCACTCTCACCACCATCGCTACTCCACCATATCACCACCATTTCACTATCGCTCCACCACCATCACCATTGGTCCACCGCCTCCGTCTCAGCTACCACCACCACCACTGCTCAATCACCTCAACCATCATTATTGCTCCACCACTATCACCACCACCACCATAGCTCCACCACCATCAACACTGCTTCACCGCCTCTACCTCAACCACCACCACCATTCCTCCACAACCATCACTAACACCACCATCGCTCCACCACCATCACCACCATCACCACTGCTTTACTGCCTCTACTTGAACCACCATCACCACCTCAACCACCATCATCACCACCAGTTCCCCAACCACCATTATCACCACCATAACCATCACTTTGCATTGTTGCCACCACTACCTCAATCACTCTACTACGACCACCACAACCACCACTCTACCACCACCACCACCACATAATAAAAATTATATTTTGGTATTTAGTATGCAACACAGAACAAAAATTATATTTTATTGTTTTATTTTATTATAGGAATGAGAAGAATATAATGAAAAATAATTAAAAAATCAAAATACCCATAATTTTATATTGTAATTTAATTTACTGAATGAAAATATATGAAAAAAAAAGTTAATTTCTAATGACTTAATTAACTTTTATTTTGTTATATTACATTAGGGGTGAGCATTCGGTTAAATTCAGCCAAACGGTTCAGTTAAATTCGGTTAAAAAATTAATTCGGTTAAATTCAGTTAAATAAAAAAAATTGATTAATTTATTTCGGTTAAAAATTTTACTCAAATTAACCGAATTGGCCGAATGATCATCCCTAAATTACATTTTTTTTTTGGCTTACCTTCTTTTAAATTTTTAGTTCAAATGAATTTATAAATCTAAAAGATCTTTAATAGCTTAGTATAATGAATAGTTTTTAATTTAAAGCAAGACTTGAGTTCATTACTGTAAATCGCAACCTTTTCAACATCAGGATAGCTTCACCCTATGTAGATTCTAATAAGTTGCCGTCTCCTACTCCCTTACTGTGAGCTGACCCATTAAAGTAAAGCTTCCATCATTTCTTTTCTATTAAGTTCAAGTGTTCATCAGGAAAATCGATTTTCCACTGTTCATCATCTTCAACTACATGTGCTGCTAGAAAATCTGCAACTGCTCTACCTTTGATGGTCTTCTTTGTGGCATATTCAATGTCGAATTCAGATAACAGGATTAACCACCTTGCTAATTTCCTTACCAATGCTGGTGTTCCATATAAGTACTTGACCGGATCCATTCTGGAAACTGATATAAACTTGTAAGACTGAAAGTCATGATGAGGTTTTCTAGTTGCCAAACCATAACTAAACAAGTTCTTTCGATCAAGTTATATTTCTGCTCAGTAGGAAGAAGCTTCTTGCACAAGTAGTAAATCACCTTCTCAACACCCGCTTCATCAGCTTATGCTAACATGGCATCGATTTTGGCATCTTCCACTGTCAAATATAGGATTAATGGATTCCCTAACTTTGGTGGGCATAAAACTGAGGGACTTGAAAAATAATTCTTAATCTTATCAAAAGCTATCTGGCAGTGATCATTCCTCTTGACTGGTTGATCTTTCCTTAGTAGCTTGAAAATCGGATCACAAACAATAGACAACTACGATATGAACCTGCTGATATATTGAATCTTACCCATAAAACTCCTTACCTGCTTATTTGTCTTGGGTGGCTCCATTTCTCGAATTGCCTTGATCTTATCCAGATCGATTTCTATCCCTTTTGGACTAACTATGAATCTTAGCACCTTGCCTAAAGTTACCCTGCATATACACTTCTTCGGATTCAACTGTAGCTTGTACTTGATTACTCTATCCACGAACTGCTCTAAAGCTGTTGGATGCTCCTCTAGTGTCTTTATCATAACAATCATATCATCAATGTAGACTTCTAACTATTTATGGATCATGTCATGAAACAAAATAGTGGCCATCCTTTAGTAAGTAGCTTCAGCGTTCTTTAAGCCAATCGGCATCACCCGATAGCAGAAAGTTTCAAATTTCGTGACAAAAGTTGTCTTGGCCTTATCCAACAGTGCCATAAATCTAATTATAATGTGCGAATCCATCCATAATAGAGTAGCATCCTATCATAGCTTTGTTGTCTATTAGAATATCAATATGAGGAAGAGGAAAATCATCTTTCGATGATGCCTAATTCAAGTCTCGGTAATCCACACATATTCTGACCCTTCTATCCTTCTTGGGAACTGGAACTATGTTGGCTAACCAGCCTAGATAGTGAACCACTTCTAAAAATCCAGCATCAATCTGCTTGGTCACTTTTTCTCTAATCTTTTTGGCCCATTCTGGTCTCAAGCTTCTCCTTTTCTGTTTCACTGGCTTGGCTCCATAATACAGTGAAATAGTGTGCTCTGCTATAGATCTGTCAATATTTGGCATATCCTTATAACTCCATGCAAATGCTTCTTTCTTATCCGTGAGTAGCTTTTGAAATTTTATGTTTAAATTCTTGGGTTAGGTTAGGCCCAATTAACAAATTCTATGGGTTATCTTTCATGCCAATACTAAATTCAAGCATTTGTGATGAGTTTATGTCAAAAATGCACATGAGATTATCTACTTGATGAATGGAACCACCAGGAAAAACATCAAACAAATAAGCAAAATTGAAGTTCATGCTTGGGTTAGGTTAGGGCCCAATTAACAAATATCTATGGGGTTACTTGTTTCATGCCAATTACTAAATCAAGCATTTGTGATGAGTTTATGTCAAAAATTGCACTGAGATTATTATTACTTTGATGAGTTTATGTCAAAAATGCACATGAGATTATCTACTTGATGAATGGAACCACCAGGAAAAACATCAAACAAATAAGCAAAATTGAAGTTCATTTCATTAAAAAGCATGGCTAGTTCATTACAATTGTCCTCATCAAAATCAGAAATAAAAATAGAAGATGGGGACTCAGCCTCCTCAAAAGCTCTCTTCAATGCATGATCTGATCACCTTCAAGACTTGGCTCACCAAGATCTTCAACTACTTTAATAGTGCTTTCCTTCTTATTCTATCCCTCTTTAATCTGAGCAGCTTGCTCTTCTTCATTCTCAATCTCAGCCACCTTCGGCCCTTCAATCCCTTCTTCTTTCTTCACTTCTTTCTTTTGCTCTTGTCTATCAGGCTCAACCTTGAGGACGTCGATCACATCTGTAAAGATATCCAAACCCGGGTATGTCTTCCTATTGTGCTCAAAAGGCTCTATTATCAAACATGAAGAGGATTGATCACTCAAGTAGACGAAACATCCATCCAAGTTATGCTAGCCAAGTGTGTTCTTTTGCTTTCTTCCATACTTATACCAAGACCCATACGGTGCCTTTGTGTTTGGATGTTTGGCAGCTTGGTTATGCCTTGTTGGTTCTTACCAAGCCCTTTGCCTCCTCAAAGTTTATTCGCTTCATGATGTTAGAGATAGTAGGCATCATATCTCTACTCAAGACTGCTATCTGAAAGTTGATCCATGGAAGAATAATCTTCTTGTCTATGTTCAAGGTGGCCATACTCTTTTCACTCTCAGTCGGGATGGTGATCACTTCTCCATTGAAGGGGAATTTGATTTTCTAGTGTAGAGTAAAAGGAACACCTCCCAAGGAATGATATCACGGGTGCCCCAAGAGCAGAGTAAAAGTCGGGGGAATGTCAATCACTATGAATTCAGTATCTTTCTCGATCGGCCCCACGTTCAACATATATTTAAAAATACCCTCTACCTATCTTTTCGAGTCATCATATAAATGGATTACCACATTAGAAGGCTCTAAATCAGACACATTTAGCTTGAACTTGGACAACAACTTTAAAGGACATATATTCAGAGCAG